CATGCATGGCTCAAATACTCAACTAAACTTCAGATCCAAACCATCACTCTCATCAAATGTTCCAAAGATTCATAAAGTTGCAAAATTATGAGATCTTATCACTCCAACTAACAAGAACACGAAGATTAAGGGACATAACCCAAGATCTAGCAACATAACTTGACAAAGATCAAGTCGTGGACACTTACAAAGATCCAAAAGAGTGCTAGGGAAAAGAATGGAGACTTTCTAGCTGAATCTTAACTTACTCCTTCTTTTTCCTTCTTTCTTCAATAATTTCCAAGAACACCAAAAAGAGCTTCAACAATGGAGGAAAGATATTAGGGTTTCTTCAAAGCTTTATGAGGCTGATGGAGCCTGAGGATGAGCAAACGCTAGCCTCCCCATTCTTTTAAATAGGGAGCAAACCCATGAAAATAGGTTTTTCTATCAGACAACTACTACGTTGTGGCCATATACTACCACGTCATAGCAACTTAAATGAAACATGAATTCCAAGCTTGCCTTGCCACATCGTGATGGTGCCTCCACCATGTCATGGCAACCCTAAAATGCCAAAAAAAAAACATAAAGTACCTCAAGATGCAGGAGTTACAACTCTCCATCACTTGATTCAGACGTCATCGTTGAAGTCTATCAACACAAATAACTCGGGGTAACGCTCTTTCATCTTGTCTTTAGGCTCACATGGTGGTGCCATTACACTTTCACCAGGACCAAACCAAGTAGTTCACCATGGGGAGAACTAATATTGTTCATGAAAAAAAATGGATTGTTCACATAGGATGTTTGTTGACTATCAGGAGTTAAGTAAGTTAACGGTGAAAAATCATTATCCGCTCCCGAGGTTTGACGATTTATTATACCATCTTCAGGGTGCATCTTGGTTCTCCAAGATTGATTTGCATTCATGTTACCACCAGATAAGGGTCAAAGATGAGGATGTGCAGAAGACGACCTTCAAGACTCATTATGGTCATTACAAGTTTGTTGTGATGTCACTTGCGCTCACTAATGCACTATCAGTGTTCATGGATCTCATCAAATGGGTACGTAGAACGATGATGGATCAGTCGGTGATTGTGTTTATCGATGATATTTTGGTCTACTCCAAGATCAAAGAATAGCATGATGAGCATTTTCAGGAGGTATTAGATACGCTGATGAGAGAGAGGTTGTATACCAAATTCTCCAAATGTGAGTTTTTTTAGCGAGGTCAAATTATTGGGAAACATCATCAACCACAAGGGTATGTTGGTTGATCTGACTAAGATTAAGGTCGTGATGCGGTGGGAGAGTTTGAGGATGCCATCAAAGATTCAAAGCTTTCTAGGTCTCATGGGCTATTATCAAAGTTCTATGTAGGATTTCCTCCAAGAATGTTATACCATTGACCCATATGACGAAGAAGAATGTTACTTTTCAATGGGGGCCCAATCAGCAAACAACTTTTGAGATGTTGAGACAAAGATTTTGCGAGGCTCTGATTCTAACCCTTCCTAAAGGTGTGGATGATTTTTGTAGTTTATTTTGATGTGTATATCTCTGTATTGGGGGTTGTAGTCTTGTAGGGGTCACGTAATTTCTTATGCTTCGAGGAAGCTAAAGCCTCATGAGGCGAATTACCCTACATACAATATGAAGTTGGGGGCTATTGTTTTTTCCCTAAGGATTTGGAGGCACTACTTGTATAGGGTTAGGTTTGCTATCCAAATTGACCACAAGAGCTTGAGATATCTGATGGATCAGTTGAACTTGAATATGAGACATCAAAGTTGGTTGGATGTAGTGAAAGATTATGATTGTGAGATTCTATATCACCTCGGGAAGGCCAATGTTGTGGTCGATGCTATGATACTCAAGGCCATGACATCAATTAACAATGAAACATACTTCTTTGTATCTGATAATAAATTGACCCTCAAAGCATGATAATTAGGGGCTTTGTACCCATGACCAATACCCGCTATTTTATCTACCATATGTTGAAAATAAGGAGATTACAAGCATTCATAGGTACACATGCATCATAGAACCATATCGTAATTGCTAAATCGACATCATGTTTTTTTACTTAGTTTGCATGACAGATTTAATAGTGGGTTGAGAATGATCATTTATACCTTTTGTGAAGAAAGGATGAAAACTTGATGTACCTTTCCTTTTTCCTTCTTTATTAGGTCGTGCTTTGACATTTCGATTTTGTGTTTCTTCCGTCTCTACATCGTCACCCAAGATAGTAACATTGTTTATGCCATCACCACTATCTTTATGTTTCTCCCTTTGTGTCATTTCTTTCAAAAGACCTTACAATAAGAAACGAACTTATGGAGATATTTAGTACAAGCTGATATGTCACCAATAACAGCGGCAATATGTTTCGTAGCTCTGCTTATGCCACCACCACGCCAAATTTTTTGAGAAAAATTACATATGTAACTCTTGTTTCATTTATCATCCTTAGCTAGAGTTATATGTTCCCATGCTTTATCTATCATCGTTCTTACATTTGATTGAATGGAAGGTTGTGATTGAGATTTTGTTTCCATTGGTTGTTTGTCTCTAGAATCCATGTTGAACTGTATTATAAAACCATACAACAATTTCAAAATCAAAATAACAAACATAAATAAACTAAAACTAATAAAATTTAACAAATACAAATCGACTAACCAAACAATTTTTGAAGTTCCATATATATAATAAACTTAAATAGTGGGTAAGGTTTCGTAGATAACCAACATTAATTAAAATAATATATGGCAAAAGTAAACAAGATAAGACTTATGTATTGATTTTTTCAATTGACTTAATTAAAGTCATGTATAGATGATAGATCATAGGTTTTCATCAATTAAAATTGAACTAAAAAAACACATGTGCTTAATTCTTACCTTAGTAGGTTGTGGCTTTTGAAGATGAAGGTTGTATTAAAAAAGAGCAATATGATTATGGAAGATTATGTATTGATTAGGTTGATGATGTGTGTCAAACGAACTAGTTTTAATCCTACTAACTTAAACACAAAGACAAACACACGAAAGGCAGTGTACCTATCGATTAGCAGTTTAGTTCAGGTAAGTAGGGTATCGAACACAGGGAACGGTAAACAATTAAAATAGATGCTAATATTATCTAAATAAAACAAGTAATAGAAAGAGGGTTTTCTCTAGTTTTGCAAGACTAGAAACTTAAACAATTAACTAAAACTTAAACTAAGAAACTAAGTGCTAAGCAAATAAAAATCAACTAAATTCAATAATAAAGAGGACTTCTGTTTAGGTTCGACTCATTTATTCCCATGGATGATTTCGATGTATCGGACTAATTCTTCATTAGCTACCGACTAAGATGATTAGTTCCACGTTCGCTATTACTAATCCTTAGGAAACAAATTAACTCAAGCAGTGGTCAGTTGTCTAAATCAACGGATTTCCTAGTTATTGATTCGGGTTAAATAAGACTTGTAATAGTTAATCAAATTGGTAATTCAATTAACCTCTTGTTGATGGTGTATCACACAATCTTACACATTAACTTACCTATCTTCAAGTTAATTCTAGTTTCACATTCGTTATTCCTAGACATACAACTATGTGGTCATGTAAATCATATGAAATTAGCAACTAAGAGATGTTCATACAACTTAATTACTAATTTATTAACAGAAGAATAGTTATTGTTAACACATAAGGTTCTTTAACAAGCTTAATAAAACATAATCACCAATTAAAATTAATCCTAATCAAATAATCAATCCATGTTCACAAATTCATCTACCTAAACAGAAGTTATGAGTTTTTAGTTCATGATTACAGTAAACATAAACTTAAAAACGAAATCAAAGTATGTAAACATGATTCAAATCAAAAAGTTACTAAGAATAAACCAAAATTGTCTTGATTCTCTTCACAGTTGAATGTAGGGTTGATTTTTCAGTTCCTCACGACCTAGCAGCACTTCCAATCGTTTCTTAGCCTCTTAGGGTTTCTCTCCATCCTATGATATCGATCTGAAAGTCCCTTTATACATATTTTCACAAAACAGACGCTACTCGGCGAGTCCAGTGACCTACTCGGCGAGTACGTCACTTAAAACCCGTGTACGGCAAGTCAGCGCGTCCAGAATCGCGAAAGTTCGACGCAACTCGCCGAGTAATCGACCCTACTCGCCGAGTACGTTTCAAATCAGCATTTTCTCAAAACACGAAAGTCGTCCGAAATTGTGTCTACTTTTCAGAACATTTTGAATCTCGTCAATCGGAGTTATGGTTCATGAGATATGGCCAAAACACTGACGAGGGGTCAAGCTGTCCAGCAACGTCCTTCTTTCTTCAAAATCCAAGATCCAAGCCTCCAATCGCTAGTTCCGCTTCCTTTTCCATCCAAGCATATCATTGTTGCTGAAAAATCAAATTATAAACTAATTAAGCACCTTTTGTTCATTAAATGAGACAAAAACAACATAAAGTAATAAGATAATGCATGGATTTTATAACTAAATATGCTCATATCAGTTGACCATGGAGATAACGAGAGATAACAACTTGACCTACTGTGCGTAACATTTAATCTAAATTGTAACGGACTATATTTGTTGCAACTTGTGAAGCCCGCACTCCATATTATAGCCCAAAAGAAAATTTAGTGACCGGTTTAAACGGTATTTATCCGGTTCATTACAAGCGGTTCAACCAGAAAATAACAATAACTGACCTGTTCACTCCGGTATAAAATCTAACATAAAACCAGTCCTTATTAAACCAGACACTACACCGGTTCCCAGTTCAACCGGTTTTTAAAACCTAACTTCATACTAATAAACATTATTTCATTTCATGTTGTCTTGGTAATCTGATATTACTTCAGTTTAATTTTAAAGGTAATTTAACTAATCTGCTCTACATTTATGTTCAGTGTGTTTGTAGATATGACGTGGCGTTAGCAATTAACACACTTGGAGTTGAACATCTTTCCTGCTTTGTTAATGAATGCCCCAACATGAAATTACTTCTTCATGTATCCACAGGTTTGTATTAAAGTTGAAATAAAGGAAAATCTTAAATATAATTAAGGGCGTCTGGGGAAGACACAAACAAAATCATATTTGATAATTGCTGGCATGCAATGCATTTGTGTAGAATGTCAATTATTTTTGGAATTGAAACCTTCTTACTTCAGCTTTTGTCTCTGGAGAAAAGTCCGGAATCATATTCGAGATACCATTTAAAATGGGTGAGACACTCAATGACAAAAATCATCTGGACATTAGAGAAGAGAAGAGGGTAACACAAGAAAGACATAGACAACTCATCGTTGAGAAAGCTAATGAAGAAGCCATGTCATCTGCCATGACGGATCTTGGTATTCAAAGGTTTCTCATTTTCTTATCTTCAAGAAATCATACTTTTTTACTTATAGAGCAAGGTGCAAATTAACATTTCCATCGATTTTAAAATAGCCAGATTCACTATCGATTGATAATTCCATACTAAAGACAGACAAACATCCACACCAATATAATGCTAGTTGTCTTTGATTTGTGTGGCAGTAGTTTTGCAATGACATTTATATGGTACCAACAACCATGTAAAAGTGATCCTCTAACAAATAAAAATTTATTTTGTATTTCCTTAATTATCTTTATAATTAGTCAATAACATATTCATATTAATATAACTAATCACAATATAAATACTAAATAACTATTAACATACAATCAAATAAAAATCAGAATGTAACTAAGTTATTTGAGTCATTAAGGCTTAGGCTGAAGGGAGTAATATCATATTTGTCACACTGTTTTCTTTTCTGTCATCTAAACACACCATGTCACCACATCAGCCTTACAATACTTTTAGGATTTTTTTAGCCATTTCGGTTTTGTTGCTATTTTAACAACTAAATTTAGATTAAAAAAGTGTATTTTTCATTAAATTAAAATAAAAGAAATACATAAAAACAATTACAAACTTCATAAATTAAAATTTTCAAATACGAAATTAATAAAAACTACACAAAGTTGTCATCCAAAAAATTGGTCTTCCAAATCGTTTATGATTTCCACACTCAAGTCAATGTGCTCAATAATTCAAATTTGCTCCACCAAATCGCTTTGAAGATTGTGATAGACTTCCATGAAGGTTGTGATGAATTTTCATATTGATGTCATGGAGGGAACTGGGAGCACCAATGAAGGCATATCCACAAATCCTATAATAATTTCCTCGTATGTATTTGACAATGGTGTGAACTCAGATAATTAAACATTTATAAAATAATACAAAAAGAATACATAGAACTCAACATACTCTTAATATATCTGATATATTGAGATACATAATAAAATTCTCACTTATTTATACAATAAAACGTATTTCTTCAACACTTCATATCTCTTCAAGTATTCATGTTTGAATCACAAAAACACTTCAAATACATGATGACTTCCTATAATGTGTATGAACTTTCTGTATGTACTAGAGTCGAGATTGTATGAAGTTAGAAAGGGTTTTATTTGTTATGTCTTGGCGTAATAGGGTATGTAATTATGATGTTATTGATCATGTTAGGAGGTCTGGTAGCCTTGTTTCTAGTTGCGACTAGAAACTCATAGATGTGGATAATATAATCACTAATCAAAATTATATTATTGTAAAGGGCAAATGGAAATCTTGTAATCAGAAATATGGCCTTTTAACTTCTAGGACCCATATGATCTTAAACTAAAATCAGATCTTTGGAATGCTCTTTCTAATATCCTTATGGACGACAGATATGGTATAGCTTTGTTGTCGCATCTTCAACAAAGTTAACTACTAGAGAAAAATAGGCTCGGTGTACGATCCTAAATGTTCATTGTTATTCAATAAATTTATCGATTGTATGTCCATGCTTGATCCAAATATTGGTGGAAAAGTATTTACGTGGATAAGCAAAATTGGATCCAAATTCAGCAAATTGGATGGATTTTTAATTTCCAACAGTTTCTTCAATATGTGCCCCAACTCAAATGGTATTACACTGACTAAGATCAATTCTGATCATCGCCTGTTGCTGCTTAGCTCCAATGAAACAGATTGTGGACCCCATCCATTCTGTTTCTTTAATTATTGTCTCCTTAATCTTGGGATGTAGGTAGGATGTGACAATGCGAGTATGAGATGTAAATTTCGAAATCTTGGATGTCGTCTATGGTATTGAAAAACTAAACAGAAAACTATGTATGTTGAAACATGAAATACATGATTAGAGAGGTCAGAAAAAGGTAGAGGAACAACAAAGAGATGGTTAAGCTTAAGAATAAAGTTGCTATTGAGATCATAATGGAGTAGGCTCTTATTGATGATACCTATACTAAAGAAAAGGAAGAATGCAGCAACAAAATCAAAGATGATGAAACCTTATGCATCCCTTACCTCAAGAAAAAATCTAGATGCAAATGGTTACCTGAGGGTGATGAAAACTTTATTTACTTATATACAATGATTAATGCAAATGCCAAGTACACAAAAATAAATGGTCTTGAAAGAAATGGGGTGTGGACTACAAAGATAGAGGAGATTAAAAACCAAATATACATTTTTTTTTTGAAGAAAGTATGAGTAGATTACGAAGGATATATGAAAATTAATAATGATAAGTTTAAAAATCAAAATTGCAAATGATTTCCTTGTATGACCTTTCGTATTCGAAGATCTAAAGATAGCAGTTTGAAGTTCTGAAAATGAGAAAGTTCTAGGATCGGATATGTTCACTTTCATATTCATAATTCTTTTTTGAAACATTATTGGAAAGCACGTCTTCTGGGTGATCAACTAATTTTAAAGAGCACAACATCATCAATTATGGTAGGAATATCTCGTTTATCACCTTTGTATCCATACTAAATGACCTTACCCTTTTCAATTTTAGGCCAATTAATCGGATTGGGTGTGCATACAAATTAATTGCTAAAATCTTGGCGGAGAGATTTAAAAATGCCATTCCGGTGACTGTTAACAATGAACAATTGGCCTCGTACATTCAAGGTATAAATATTCTTGATGGTCCTATTATGGTGAATGAGGCTATTACATGGACAAAAAATGTATAAAAATGTTGTTCATCTTTAAAGTAGATTTTGACAAGGAGTTTCGCAACCTTGGTCTTTTCTTCCTAATACTCCTAAGCTTATGAGGTTCAAAGAGAGATGGACTATTGGATTTTTACTTGTCTTACTTCACCTAAAGCTCCAATACATGTTAATGGAAGTCTCACAAATATCCCTTGCTTGTCTCGTCTCCAATATGCTAACGAAGCCATTTTAATGGGGGTCGTCTGTTGTTGACGTTCATTCGATCATGAATCCGTTGTGGGATAAAATACCCTAATCTTTCATTTCTAAAAAAATCATGTTCCAAATGGATACTTATATTGTGGTTCCTCAAAAAGTCAAAAATGTCATCTTTGTGGAACTTATGGCCACAATTTGGATTATATATATATATATATATATATATATATATATATATATATATATATATATATATATATATATATATATATATATATATATATATATATATATATATATATATATATATATATGGAAAAATAGGAACGGCCACATATTTAACAACATGGTGAGAAACAGTCACAATTTAGGGAATAAGGTGAAACTATAGGTTTTTAATTGGATCAAAATTAGATGTATAAAGATGAATTCGATTAATTGGAAGAATTGGTAATTACCTATTAAGAGAATGTTTGAACTTGTAATTATACTCTCCCTAGCCATTCTAATAGTCTCTTCTTGTTAAAGAAAAATATACTTTAGTAAAATATTAACATGAATATAACTAATATAATTGAGATAATAAATAATTATTAAGATATATATGTTATATTTATGAGAAATAAAATAGCATCCTACCTTTTCTTCCTACTTATCTTTCTTCTAATATAAAATGGTGACATATATTATGTTTCAACCCGAACATGCAATAATGGGCCCAACCCTTGGGTTTCTTTCAACCCAAATACAAACATGGGTCCAACCCTGGGTTTCTTTCAACCCAAAGATGCAACATGGGCCCAGCCTTGGGGTCAACCTTGGGGTATATTTGAACCCAATCATACATGGAAGAGTCACAAAGATAGCTAGCACCCTACATAGCACAATCCAGTGTGTCGGTATTTATGCCTGCGGCCCACAAGTACGGTAAGAAAACCGTCAATACTCAGCTACTACTGCTCTTACTATTATAAATATCAATGCTACACACCACATATACAATTATACAGGTATGCCCTAAGCTCTTCTACCCAAACTAAGAGTTTGATCAAATGTTAACTCAAATCAAAAGTCAGCAGTTAAAGGTCAAAGTTAACAGTCAAACTTCTCACTTCAGTGAATCACCACGTCGTGGCACCGAATTAGGACAAAACAGTCGATCCATCACCAGTCGCAACCACGTGATAACTTGTTGCCACATCGAAGGAATTGGGTTCCAAACAGCTTAATGGATTAAGTTGTTTCCTTCAGCCCTAAGAGCTTTAAAGCTTAGATTTGGTCTGAAACATGGTCTATAAAGATAAAGTTTCCAAATTTATCCATTAAGACACCAAAAAGATCAAAATTTCATACAATAGGTTCCAAAAAGGCTTAACAATAGATGCATTCATCCATTAAGCGGTTATTAAAAAAAAGTCCATAGTCCATTAATTCTAGAAGAGTTTCTATCACCACAATTAAGATAAAAGTTGGTGCTTTATAGACATGCATGTCCAATGCATGTATTGAAGCCATAAGGAGTCGAAATAAGGGTTTTTGATAAAAATCTCATGTATGGCTCAAAACCTCAACTGTACTTTAGATCCAAGCCATCAATCACACCTAATGTCCTAGAGATTCATAAATTTGCAAACTTTATGAGATCACATCACTCAAATTAATAAGAACATGAATATTAAGGGATAAAACTCAAGATCTAACAACCTAACATGATAAAGATCGAGTCTTGGACACTTACAAAGGTCCGAAAAAGTGCTACGGCGAAGAATGGAGACTCGATCATTGAATCTTAGTTTACTTTTTCTTCTTCTTCTTTCTTCTTTCAAGAACGTCCAAGAACACCAAAAAGAGCTTCAACAATGGAGGAAAGAGATTATGGTTTCTTCAGAGCTTTAGGAGATTGATGGAGGCTAAGGATGAGCAAAACCTATCCTCCCCATTCCTTTAAACATGGAGAAAAACCAAAAAAATATAGGGTTTTCCATCAGACAACTACCATGTTGTGGTAGCTTAAATGAAATATGCGTTCCAACATTGCCTCTCCACATCGTGGTCGTACCTCCACCACTTCATAGCAAACCTAAATGTGGCATCCATAAAATTCATGAGAAATTTAAACTCTTTCAAACCAACCAAAAATCATATTTTTTTTTACAATCTAGCTTTCAAAACATGTTTAGTATCAGAATTTTTCCCAAAATAACAAAACACAACACGAGGAGGTGCACAATCACCCATTTTCCTTCCTGTGATCATATAAGGTACCTGAAACATAACCCAAAAACTTAAGCCTAAAGCGTAGTGATTTCCCCCAAAGTGTCAACACAACAAATAACACATACCATAATAGCATACTATGAGTCCAATCAACCATCATGTTGGAATACCCCAGGCCCCTCAACCATCGGGTTGGAATGCCAACATACTATGGGTACAGTCAACTATTGGGTTGGAATACCCTAGGCCCTCAACCATCAGGTTAGAATGCTAACATACTATGGGTCCAATCATCCTCGGGATGGAATACCCTCGGGCCCATTCAACCATTGGGTTGGAATGCCCCGGTCTGTTGACTTACACACAAAGCATTAAAGCCTCAGCCACCGACCAAACATGTACACATATAACAGATGATCATATAACAGTCTACAGCTAGTCAAACAGATCTACATATCACTAAGCTATCAACATCTTATCTACTATGATAACAATCTAACAGATAACTAGCATAATAACATCCTATCTACCAGGATATCGATCTAACAGATCACAACAACACAATAGCATGCATAACAGGATATTAATCCAATGGGTCGGCATTGGTGCTTTTGACCCACAAGTATAGTGAGGAAAACTCACCTCGCAAACTGAATAGAACTGATGAGGCCCAACTCCGAATCTCAGCTCTCTATACGATACCTAATTCTACCAAATGACCAATTTCCATAAGAATCCCAAAATACTCAAAATACCCTTAAGGCCAGACTTGGTCAAAGTCTATGTCAATTGTTCAAAGCCAATAAATCCACTAAGTCAACCCAACCGACTTAACTCAACATGAGCTAACCCATGCGAGTACGCGGGACGTACTCCGAAGATATGCTCAGCGTATGCGAAGCTACGCTGAAACCACCATCGGGGTGGCTGACCGAGTACCCAGGGCGTAACCTCACAATCCCAATTTCTTCATTAAATGCTTAATGGCTTCAACACTAATTTAAAGGATAATGACTTAAAAAGGTAATATAATTTTTGATTTGTACACATTTGTTCACTAAGTTTTTTTTCGTCCACATTCCTACAAAGACATTGCTATTTTAGGGCTTTGGAATTGCGATATGTTTGGTCTAAAAAGAATAACGCCAGCTGCAAAGTCGTTAATTTCTAGGAAGTTAACGCATATTCAAATAGCATGTTTCTAAAAGTATGGGGCATTATTCAATAAACTATCAGCCACAAAAAAACATAAAGCAAAAGATTGTTACATTGTCAAAAGGAACTGTTGGCTTCTGGCTTCGAGTATTCATTTTGGATCCCTTTTTGCCCGGTCAACACCTTTAGAGCATGCACATGGGGATTGCAAACTCCTTGCAACCCTTTTGTAATTTGCTAAGAGTACCTATATTATCAAAAAGATTAAATTAAATTGAAGGTTTAGTATTGTAAATTACGACAGGTCTTTTAATAATTATTTATTAATAGGCGTGTAATATGTCTAGTGGTATTAGTAGTTGAATTTTACACACCAAGTTCATAATTTAAACTAGGGAAATCTCCAATAAAGTCCTAAAATTTTAACCCGGTTTATGTTTTAGTCCTAAACTAATTTTTGTTTACGAAAAAGTCCCAAAAACCGGCAAAAGTTTGCATTTTAACCCTTTTTGACTGGTTGGAACCGGTAACAAATTAATTTATGACTATTTCATAAATTAACCCAAAATATTGGGATTTTTCTGCAAAAACAAAAAATATTAGGGTTTTTCTGCAAACAAAAACCTTATTATTATTATATTAAAAATATAAATAAGTATACTATTTTTTTAATTTGTTATTATTAATATTACTAATAATACATATAAATACATTTAAATTAAAAAAATATTAAAGACATTTTATAAATGTGAAGGTTGAGCGGATGGTAATGCTTTAAGCTTTGAAATCATGAATGTCTGTTTGTATATTCTAACTTTGTATATGGTCATTTCACACTTGTTATTATTGTTTTTAATTCAGAATATTAACATTTAACAATTTAAAAGAAGCTACTGATTTTTCAAATTGTTTACGAATAGTAAGCATGTGATATGCGTGTATATCTTGTGTGTAAGTATTTTTGAATTACCAACATGTGTGTTGCTCTTTTTCATTACTTTATCCTTGTGGTTTTTTTGGAAACATAGCAGATATAGTGTGATAAAGCAAAATAAATCATATTACTTTCTATTAAATAAGATATTTTAATTAATATTTTCGAATTTTGATATGGGCCACCAATGTGAATATTTATTGTGGATCTGTTGGATTTGAAAAGAAATCATTATACCTTAAGAAATTTTATATACAAAGTGAGAAATCCTTTTATCTTAAACTATTTTTACATAATTTTACAAATAGGCAACTTCTTTTAAATTGTTAAGTGTTAATATTTTGAATTGAAAACAATAATAAGAAATGTGAAATGATCATATACAAAATGAGGACATACAAGCAGTGATTTCAATGCTTAAAGCATTACCATCACCACCACCTTCACCTTTAAATAATTTCTTTAATATATTTTTATTTAAGTGTATTTATATGTATTATTAAAAATATTAATAATAATGAATTTAAAAATTAGTATACTTGTTTATAATAATAATAATAATAATAATAATAATAATAAAGTTTTTGTTTGCAAAAGAAGTCCTAATTTTTTTTGCTGAAAAAATTCCAATATTTTAGATCATTTTGTGAAATAGTCCCAATATTTTAGGTTAGTTTATGAAATAGTCCCAAATAAATTTGTTGCCGGTTCCAACCGGTCAAAAGGGATCAAAATGCATATTTTTGCCTTTAAACTATGGCATACTCAAAATGTTGGTAGTTTGTCTACGAATGGACAACTCATGTGGCTTTGAGACGGGATGACATTAGATTTATATGATGCGGTTTACATATATTTTTAAATAAAAAGCAAAGTATATTATTTATTTTAGCATTATATATGTTGACTAGATGAGCAAATACTTACATTTTTTAACCTGGTTAACCAGGTTAAAAAATGTAAAGTATTTGCTCATCTAGTTAAAACAGGGACCACACATGAAATAATATTAACGCGTCCATTACATGTCGCCGCTAATATCCTGTGTTGCCGATAAAGAGTCGCCGCTAATGCCCCTATTTCTTGTAGTGTATTACATAATTGAAGCAGAATTGGATGTGACACGATTAAAAACACAATGACATTGAATTAATAATATGTATGATAAAGGTAGATTCATTGGTCAAGAAGTCAACTTTTTTTGTTTACTATTCTTTAAGATGCAAGTGCCGCCATCATTCACTTTATAATTTGTATTATGTTTGCCTGATGCAAGGGCAAAGTTGCATGGATGGCCAAATGTCTATGTATTCACCAAGGCAATGGGAGAGATGCTATTGCTCAAGCGATTAAGACAAGATGTGTCATTAGTCATATTACGTCCTACCATCATCGCCAGTACCTATAAAGAACCATTTCCTGGATGGATTGAAGGCGTTAAGTAATTCAATTGTCATTTTATTTGCAGTAGACATTACAAAATTTTCATGAACTTTATTGAATAAAGATCATGCATTAGATAACATTTCACTCCATTATTCTTCACATGAAGATTAAAAAATATTTATAAAAAAAATACAGGACGATGGATAGCTTCATTGCTGCATATGGTAAAGGCATGACTTCTTGCTTTCTTGCACATCCTAACAAAGTACTTGACATAGTAAGTTCTCCTTAACTAGAACGATGACACATTGCACATTCTTATATGTTAGGTCATCCGTTATACCCACCACATACCACATATATGATGGGTGCCACATCAGCACCACATTCCCCTAACACTAACATGTGATACCTACCACTAACACACCACTCCACATCATTATTTTTATTTTTATTTTAATTCAAAAATACAATAAAATTACATTATTTATAATTAAAAAGCATTCATTTTTTTAAACTAGTTTTTCATTAATTATAAAAATAAAATTACAACTTCAAACTATATTAGTTAGTTAATCTAGAAAAAAAACCGTTACATTAATTAAAAAAAACAAACAAACCTACATATTAAAAACCTAATCGTCGTTCATGCTACGTTTGTACAAATATTCCGCGATATCATCTCGAAGATTGAAACACGTTTCACTATTATGAATTTCAACAACTCGCTCTAAAACGCATTTGTTCCGGGTACGAACTCCTCAATTGGAACGACAACGTCGTTCGGATCATACGTGCAAATCGCTCGACCTTCATCTGCAATAATCATATTATGCATTATAATACATACTAGGACCATTCGTTTAATTTTTTCTTTATCCCAGAGTCGTGTAGCATATTTCACTACATGTCATGTCTGCTTAAGAACTCCAAATGCCCTCTCGATATCCTTTCTCGCCGATTCCTTTTTTTTTGTAAACAACTTTACTTTTTCACTTCGAGGAACCGAGTATGCCTTCATCAATGTAGAATAATCCGGGTATATCCCATCACCAAGGTAGTAACCGTATTTGTACGTGTACCTGTTCACTGTGAACGTCATATCAGGTGCTTTGTCGGTTCGAATATCGTTGAAAAGTGGAGACTGGCCAAGAACACTAAGGTTGTTGTTAGACCCCGCTACCCCAAAAAAGGCATGCCATATCCACAAATCTTGAGATGCAAAAGCTTCTAGGATGATAGTTGGTTCACCTATATCTACTCGAGTGAACTGACCACAACATGCATTTGGACATTTTTCCCAAGCCACATGCGTACAATCTAGACTGCCAAGCATACCCGAAAATCCATGCCTCTTTTCATGAGCTGAATATAATCTCTCAATATCACGTTGACTAGGTTTGCGCAAATATTCTTCATGAAAAACCTCATAAAAACATGCAGAAAACCAATCTACACATTCAACTGCGGTCCTCTCGGATACTTTTGGATATTCGTCAAATGCATCAAATGCTATACAATATCCCAAATACCTAAGAGCAATCGCATATTTTTGTATACTACTAAAACTCATTCTTCCTCTAGCATCGGATTTTTGTTTGAAAAAAATCATAACGAGATTTTAAAGCATTACTAATACGTAAACATATAGCCTTATTCAGACGGAAATGACGTTCGAACAAGTCGTCATTATAAAGACAATTATCGGCAAAGTAATCACGTACCAATAAGTCGTGTGCGGCTTGGCGATCACGATTGACGACCGCCATTGTATGAGCAACATTCGAACTTTCTTCATCGTAAATGTGTTGCACAACATTGAAGAATGTATCGATAAATTTTACGCTGTCATCCGAATCAAAAGTTTTTATAAATTCCATATGTTTTGTAGAATCCATGTATATGTTTTTTGTGGTTTTAGAGTCAAGTATTAGAAAGCACAAGTAATCAAACTAACTCTTTGATTAATTGGAAAATAACTCAAAACCAATATTGTATTCTGTACAAACCATGACTTGGTATCTACATATATATATATATATATATATATATATATATATATATATATATATATAAAACATTCCTAGTCTACCAACTTGTAGAATAAGATTAGGAGACTAAAACCGACTTGCTTAAGCCCCAAGATTCTTATACTCCAAGTCCTATATGACTTAGGATTCCAACAATCACCCCCGAATCTCTAAGTCCTTCTAGAGAATTCTTCAATCCCAATCAAGCTCCACATTTCCTTGAACTTGGTTCGAGCTAGTGGTTTCGTAAGAATATATGCTCTTTGTTCTTCACTGGGAATGTAGTCCACCTCCATTTGTTCCCTTTCGACACAATTACAAATGAAGTGAAACCTCGTGTGAATGTGTTTACTTCTTCCATGAAAAACGGGATTCTTCGTTAGTTCGATAGCTGACTTGTTCTCAACTCTAAGAATCACTTTCTCTTGCGCTTTGCTCATGATTTCTCCAAGAAAATCTTGAAGCCATATTGCTTGACATGTGGTTGATGTAACCATCATGAATTCCGCCTCGCAAGATGATAAAGTAATGGTATCTTGCTTTTGCGAACACCATGTAATTGGAGATGAAACATAGTAGAAAATGTGACTGGTTGTGCTTCTTCCATCATCCGGGTCAAGATTGTGACTACTATCACTATAACCAATAAGTCGCTTTTGTCCCATCCTCTCGTACTTAATTCCGTATCCCGTTTTTCCTCGTAAGTACCTTAGAATGTGTTTGATTACACCACCATGTGATTCTCTTGGACTTTGCATATATCGGCTAACAACTCCAACCGCATATGCCATATCGGGTCTTGTTTGCAAGAGATATCTAAGACATCCTACCACATTTTAATATTGTGTCGGGTCGATTTCGGGTTCATCTTCGGCCTTTGACAATTTATTTCCTGGTTCCATTGATATGTGGGTCGGATTGCAATCATGTAAACCATCTTCTTTTAAAATACATTGAGCATATGCTTCTTGGTTTATAGTAATCCCCGATTCTTCTTGCTTAACTTTAATGCCAACGTAATAAGTCAATCTTCCAAGATCCGACATCTCAAAGTTCTTGGACATCTCTAATTTGAATCTCTTGATCACGCTCAAATTAGTACCTGTGACAAATAAATCATCAACATAAATTGCTAAAATTAGCAAGTTAGATCCTTCACATTTCCGGTACACCGATGGTTCTTTAATGCACTTTTGAAATTTCATACTCTTCAAAATCCCATCAAGCTTCGTGTTCCATGCTCGAGGTGCTTGTCTTAAACCATATAGTGCTTTTGTAAGGCGATATACTTTATGCTCGTTGCCTTTCTTTATATAGCCTTCCGGTTGTGACACGTAAACAGTTTCTTTTAATTCTCCATGTAAGAACGATGTTTTAACATCCAAGTGCTGAAGCTCCCACCCATGAGTAGCTGCTAAGGCTATAAGAAACCGAATGGTTTCGATTCGAGCTTCCGGGGCAAATACTTCTTGAAAATCAATATCGGGTTGTTGCACGTAACCTTTAGCAACCAACCTTGCATTGTATTTATTAATGGTGCCATCTGCATTTTTCTTCAATTTGAACACCCACTTGAGTCCAATTGGTTTCACCCCCATAGGCTTGTTCACAAGAATCCAAGTATTATTTTTGTTTATCGACTTGATTTACGCATCCATGGCCTTGACCCATTCTGGTTCTTTCTTCACTTCTTCAACCGATACCGGCTCGTCATTGGTTATTAGAAGGAGTTCTTCTAGATTTTCAAGATCAAGCTCATAATCTTGAAATCGTCTTGGAGGTACTCTTATTCAAGAGGGTCTTTGATTTGCAGCTCCTTGTTGAAAATTATTATTTACCAGACTTGGTTGTTCATTTTCTTGTACTTCCGCTCCGTCTCTAATCTCATGATCCGATTCAATTGGATCATTATTTACACTGTTTCCTTGGTTGTTGTTCGCATCGTCTCTCGGATAGTCCCATGGTATTATGAATGAGTCTGGTTCTTCATTGTTGGTTCCTGCTTCTTTAATCCAATCCCACCCTTTGGTTTCATCAAAAATAACGTCTCGACCTACGATTATTTTTTGTGTTACCCGGTTAAACAACCGATAAGCTTCCGTACCCGGTTCGAAACCAACATGCACTAGTGGTCTTGATCTTGAATCCAACTTCTTTAGATTAACTGGTTCAATTTTTGCATGTGCTAGACACCCAAATATACGAACATTTTCTAAATTTGGTTTTCTTTTATACAACTTTTCGTATGGAGTTGTATCACCAAGGACTCTTGTGTAAACGCGATTGATTAGATTTGTAGAGTGATTTACCGCTTCTCCCCATAAGTAGTTTGGAACATGCATTGCCTTCATTATACTTCGCGTCATGTCCATGAGTGTCCGGTTTCTTCGTTCCACAATTCCGTTTTGTTGTGGAGAGTATGGGACGGTAAGATTGCGTTTGACTCCGTTTTGTTCACAAAAAGAATTAAACTCGAGAGAAGTAAACTCACCTCATCGATCACTTCTAAACAATTTCAAAGGCTTTCCAATTTCATTCTCCACCAAAGCTTTGAATTTTTTGAAGTGTGTAAATGTCTCACTCTTTTCTTTTATGAGATAAATCCACATAAATCGTGAAAAATCATCAATTAATGTAAAAATATACATATTTTGACCATTGGTTGCCGGCGTGATTGGACCGCATAAATCACTATGAATAAGTTCTAATGGTTGTTTCGCTTTGTATGTCGTCATAGTCGGGAATGACTTTCTTGTTTGCTTGCCCACCAAGCACAATTCACACAATTGATTCTCATGATCAAATTGAGGTAACCCTTTGACTAAACCCTTCTTGGACATCGTTTTCATTGACTCGAAATTGATGTGCCCAAGTCTTGCATGACTTCGCCACGCATCTTCACTTAGTCTCAAATGAAGGCAAATAGGGAATCCAATTTGTTATTTTATTTTATAAATGCGGTTTGGTGATCTTTGTACTTTCATTAATAAGCAATTATCGGCATCGTTCATGGTTAAATAGTTGCCTTTCATTCGAATATCACACCCGGCTTCAGTTGCTTGTCCGAGACTTATAATGTTGTTCTTGAGATCTGGTATGTAGTAAATCTCTGTCATCAACCTTTGTTGACCTTTCTTGCCTTGGAAAAGTATAACACCTTTTCCCTTGATTTTTACACATGAATTATCTCCAAATTTAACCCTCCCGGTTATGCCTTTGTCAAGCTCGGAGAAAAATGACCGGTTCCCCGTCATGTGATTGCTCACCCCATTATCCAAATACCACACATCGTTGTCTTGTGAGTCGTATCGAGACAGTATCACCTTCTCTTCATTAGAATACACGGTCTCGTGTAAAAATACGGTCTCGTCGGTATCGTCATATTCGACAAAATTACTTTCTTGTAATTTTTTAATTCGGTCCGAACATTGAGACGCGAAGTGACCCGTCTTATCGCATCGGTAACATATAATTTTGGATCGGTCCTTTTTCGGTTTACTATTATATCTGAATTGGGATTGGGCCTACTGTTGGATTGGTTAGTATTGGACCGACCATTATTTGGCTTTCCTTGGGCCTATTTTGATTTAATTTTGCTTGGGCCAGCTCCACTTGATCCATTCAACTCGCAGGATCCAAATCCACTTGAGCTATTAAACCCATGTGTTTTGTTTCCAGACCTGTGAGCTTCCATCGATTTCCCCTTTGATCTCCAATTGCGATTTGAAGATCCACCATCGATGAATAAAGCTTTTGATCCTTCTCCTCCATCATCTGCTTCCTTCACCCTCTCTTCATACGCTTTCAACTGCCCGACGATGTCCTCAAACCCAATTGTCTTCAAATCAAGAACCTGCTCAAGTGACGCCACGATATGAAGAAACTTTCTTGGTGCGGATTTTAGCAGCTTCTTCACCATCTTTGATTCTTCGATGGTTTCTCCCAGTGACGCCGATTGAGAGGCAATTCCTAACAATTTCCCGGCAAAGGAATCTATTGATTCTTTCTCTGACATCATCAATCTGTCGAACTCGGTATTTAGGGTTTGAAGTTGGGCTTCTTTCACCTGATCGGCGCCAACATGCCTCGATTTGATCGAGTTTCAGAGGATTTTAGCTTATTCAATATCTCCCAACTGCATAATCAAGGATTCCGGTATTGCTTGGTACAACAATCCGATGGCCATGTAATTTTTTTCTTCATTCTCTTCTGTTCCAGGGTTAATTACACTCCTTGCTTTATGAATTTTGAGCACTACTTTCATCCTTAGTGCCCGGACGGTATAATTAGTGGAAGTAAGCATTGGACATGCCACTGTGGTTGTCCCAACCTCCTTCACTCTCACCAGAGGAGGCCCTGCACCGTCTTCTACGTCTGACATATTAACATAGCTCATCAATAGGTAAGTAACTCGGTCTCAAAGCTTCTTAACTTAAGCTCTGATACCAATTCAAGTATTAGAAAGCACAAGTAATCAAACTAACTCTTTGATTAATTGGAAAATAACTCAAAACCAATATTGTTTTCTGTACAAATCATGACTCGGTGTGTGTGTGTATATATATATATATATATATATATATATATATATATATATATATATATATATATATATATATATATATATATATATATATATATATAAACATTCCTTGTCTACCAACTTGTAGAATAAGATTAGGAGATTAAAACTGATTTGCTTAAGCCCTAAGATTCTTGGATTCCAAGTCCTACGTGACTTAGGATTCCAACATAGAGAATGAATGTTAGAATGAGGTGTAAGTTTTAATGAAATTAGAAGGTTTATTTATGTTATTGAATTGAGTTTGGAAAAAAAATATATATATAAGCAAAATAGCCGTTCAATGATCAAAAAAACCAACCACCAATCACCTTCTTCGTTTGACTTTATCGTTGGGAACACGAAGTATCACAACCACGCCCGACCACGGAATGTCAGGTGTAGTGTGCACGAGCCTTTCTCGATGCTCTTGCCTACCCATTTTGGTATCATGTTTTATAAAGCGTTATTTGCGTGCACTTGATTGGATGATAATAATATTTTTTTATATCTAAATGCAAGAAATGGTAAATTAAAGTGTTAGTAATGCATGCCACATTCCTCTTATATGGTAAATGCAAGAAACTTGTAAAATAATAATAATAATAATAATAATAATAATAATAATAATAAGAAAGACACAACCACTCTTGTAAATAATAGCTTTATATAATTTATTATGTTCATGGTTAATTAACATAATAATTTTTTTTTAACGGCAAATCAATTAACTTTCTTTTGACATTTTCATAGTTTTTTATGGTTAATTAAAGTGTTAGTAATGCATGTCACATTCCTCTTGTACAGAAACTTGTAAAATAATAATAAGAAAGACACAACCACCCTTGTAAATAGATTAATATAATTTATTATGTTTTTTTTAAAACACTTACGGCATATATACCTTCCAAATCTTACTCGTCAACTACTTTATTTGTCCACCACGAGTCCATAAGACTTGAACTTTCAACCATTTAGAAGAGCTAACATATTTTCAAACACCTTGACATCGCTAGGCCAATAGCTATTTGATATATAATTTATTATGATATTCTCTAAAACATGCAGATTCCAGCAGACATGGTGATTAATGTTATGATAATAGCGATGGGTGCCCACATAAATAAACCAGTGTCCATGACTATTTATCATGTTGGATCATCTATGTCAAACCCATTGAAAATTTCTACATTTAAGAATTGTGTAATTGAATACTTTGCTAAGCATCCATTAAAAAGCCAGCAAGGAAACCCCATCATAACATCCAAAACAATTAGGTTGTTGAGTTCCATGAGTAGCTTTAACAGATATATGGTGATACGTTACGTGATTCCCTTAAAGGTACTCTCTTAATTTAATCAACCTTTTAATATGGAAAAACAAAATATATCACATTTAGTTTTAGAAATATTATACTTCACTGGTTTTTAACATTTCTTCTTGTTCGTTTGTAGGTATTTAAATATCTAAACATTCTACTAGGTAGGGCTTTTAATGCATGGTATCTCGACGCAGAGCGAAAAATCAATATCATATTCCGCTTAGCAAGTCTTTATAAACCATACGTTCTCATCAACACAATGTAAGCAATCTTTCCATCATTTTCTAGTTATTAAATTATGGAGAGCTTTTAAAACATGCACAATGGTGTTTAGTTAGTATATTGATATAAGAGATAAGTTGAACCGCGTGAAAACACATGACTGAAAGATAAAAAATAAAAAAATAATAAAATAAAATAAAAAATAAATAAATAAATAAATAACTAATAGAAAAGGCAAATATATAAAGGATACCTTTTCTTCACCTTTCGATGATGTTCTTCGTGTCACACTATCTTCCAAATTCCTTATTTGTCGTCTTCTCCTCTTCTTATCTTCAACTGTCACCATCCACCCTCATATATATAGGTTGTCATTGATGGTCTTCTTTCTACATATACATAATAAATTAATCAATATTTGTATCACCCTCATTAGACTATTAAAAATAGTATTAAAATATTTTTAGAGTTTTTGTTTGCAGAAAATGGTCCCAAAGTTTAATTCAAATATTTTTTATACGTCCAGTGCGGATAATTGTCCAAAAGATTAATTCAAATATGTTTCAGATTTCAAATGTGGATAACAGTCCTAAACATAAATTACCAACGATTTAGGATTTAATAAAAATATTTCATGCGGGAATGTCACAAAAAATATCAATACAACGGTTTAAGAAGTTTTTACAAACCAAGAGTCTTCTAAATATCTAAGCAGCTAAGCTTACAAATCTTCTAAGCTCCTGATAATATCCACTAACCTATAAAATTTATCAACCCCGTGAGTTATGCTATGAGGAGCCAAGTGAGTACAATTCAAAAGTTGGACATTGCACGGGTAGTGTATGAATGAACACATGACTCATAAATAAATATAAAAACTCGTACCTTCTCAAAACAACAACAAAACATCAATACTTAACTTGAGGGTAACAATACTCAAAGTACATTGTCATAAATGTCAAACCTCATATAAACTTCGAAAATAGATAAACAACACAACATAGTTATGCCTTAATTAGTCAATTCTCAACAATCGAAACCCACATCAAATCATATAGAAAGAGATATATACATACATGAATTCAAAACATTTCAATTTGATAACCTAAAGAAAACAAATATACAAAACTTTATACTTTTTTCAAACAATCGTTATACGAAGAAACAACTCCAAGAGATAACGTAATTCATGCAACTATCCCAACCCATGTGAATTTCAAGATGTCCAATTTCACTATGATAAATGGTGGTGGGCACTTAAGGAGTCTTCCTTCAAGTTACTAGAGAAGGTGGGTCTCACACATTTATTATCTCTAGGAAGAAGGGTCTCTCAGTTTCTATGTCTACTGGGTCTCCTACCATCGATCTAGGAACTACATAGCCATGATCCCCCCCCCCCCCCCCACACACACACACAAGGGGTAGCGAGCCTACATGTGTCTGTGAGGATTATCTTGAAATCTACTCACAACAACTCAACACGTAACGAGTCTAGGACATGAACACACAAGTCACTCATCCTAGTATGTATGTACAAATAGGATGTCAAAACACATTCAAAATCTATATTTAGCTTTTGCTATCAAATCACTTTTAAAATCTTATTTCATGAATGAAAATAAGTATATGCACATGTAAGCAAATTGAAATAAAGTATATGCTAAATAGTTTTCGAAACACAAGATCAATAATAAAGGATGTATGCTCCTAGTAACTCAAGATGTAACACTCATAAAATATTGTCACAAAATTTTCATTTTTAAATTATAAATAAACTATAGTTATTTAAATCGTCTCATCAAAACATAAGTCGTAGTATCTCAAAACATCATAAACAGTATATCCATATCAAAACATATGTCAAATATATCAAAGTAAACATCCCAGGCTAAACATCATGGTGTGTGCAATGCAGTCATCCTGAGCTCTTTCCTTTGCTACCGGAAGTACCTGAAACCAAAACTGAAAACCGTAAGCACACAAAGATTAGTGAATTTCCCTCAAACTACCACATACCATACACATAACATGTAATGAGGAGACACGAGCCCCGCCCACACTCAAGGAGATATGGTCCCCCAATCACACTCGGATAACGGACCCTATGCTATGAGATACAGGCCCCTCCCACACTTAGTGAGATATGTGTCCCGCCCACACTCAGCTAACTAGGAGATATGGGCTCCGCCCACACTCGGCTAACTAGGATTTATGGGCCCCACCCACACTCAGCTAACTAAGAGACACATACAAGTATCACACAAACAACAAATATAACCAGAACCTACCAATCCATTCCATATCCATACTCAAGTAATGCTAAGATACGGGCCTTTCCCACACTTAGCTACTAATCAACACACATAATATACACGGGCCGACATTGGTGCCTTCGACCCGTTTAATCTAGGAGGAAACTCACCTCAAATGTTGGATGGTAGCTGAAACATCTTTGTCCCGAAATCAACTCTATTGTATCCCTAAACCAAAACAACCCCTTAAATGTCATTTCATACTCATAACTCTTTAGGGTCAACTATGATCAAATTCAAGTCTAGGTCAAAGTCAAAGTCAACGCTCCGAGTTGACTCCACTCGTCGAGTTTACCCTTCAAATCGTTGAGTTCCCATAAATCATAGAATCGTGAAATTGCAATCCAACTCGTCGATTTTTCCTCCAACTCGCCAAGTTCTTCCTTTTAAACTGAATCGGGACACTTCGACCCAACTCATCGAGTTCCTCTATGAACTCATCGAGTTCTTCAGTCTGTTAACCCTTCTTAATGCATTAAGCCCTTATTCTTTAGATCTACACCCTAAACTCCATATCTAGACTGGAAATGCCTCTAGAAGGGTAAAGTTTCCAACTTTACCCATTAATACCTTTCCTAAAAGGATTAAGCTCAAACCCTAACCCAAAAAGGCCAAAGTCTTAATCCAAACACCACCAAAACTACAAGATATACCATAAGGTTATAGATCTGGACTCTAGGGACAAAAAGATCACGTAAAGTCCCAACTTTCTCTACATGCATGGCCATTAGAAGCTCCAAAATGCCAAAATGATGGTCTAAAGGTTGCATGGGACTTCCATGGCCATAAAGTTGGCACATTTATGCCATGAAAACCCCTCAATACCTTAGATCTGAAGTGTTAGCCCATTTGGGATATCCAACTCCCAAGGACCATTATATTTTGACAAAACTAAGAAAAATAACCCCAAAAAGGAGATCTACTCAAATACAAGGCAAGGTTCAAGCTTTATACCAACAAAATGTTGTGGATGAGGCAAGGATTTTGGATCTATCAACTCCTTCATTTGTCCTCAAGCTTTTCCTTCTTACAATGGCTTCAAATACACACTAAAAACACTTAGAATGGCTCACAATCACTCACAAGACCTTAGGCTTTCGAGATTTAGGGTTAGGGACTTGCAGGCTAGAAATAAGGTCAACACCTTAGGGTTAAGGTGGTTAAATAGGGTGAAAACCCCGGAAATTAGGATTTTATGTCTGTCGGCCTACTCGTCGAGTTGAGGCCTCCCAACTCATCGAGTAGGTTACTTAAAACATATGGCCCTTATGATCTCTACTCGACGAGCTTGGGGCTCCCAACACTTCGATTTTCTCTATAAAATTGAATAAATTATAAGTTAAATATATACCAGGAACCAGTCGTTATATAAGATGAAGATCAAAAGGGTAGTCATACCCATGGTAACATAAATAATGTACCCCCCCTCCCCCCGGCCCTCCCTTTCCCCTCAATAAATTCACATTATCAAAAGTACATCCTTAACTCAATAAAGGATGTCCCTAATCATAAATAAAGTCACTTAATAAGGTAAACACAATATGTAGATATAGTAGGAAAACAATATGAATACATGTATAATATTGTACATAAAGGAAAGCACAATTTACAATAATCATATAATGGGGAGAAGTGTTCTAAGGTAAAATTACTCACCTTTAAAATTAACATGTGACATAGATACAAAACAATTACATCAAAATACATACTACAAGAAAAAAATCCATCATAAGGTAAACACTAATTTGAAAACATATCGTGATATTACATAATCCTACGAGAAACAAGATCAGTTCCCAATAAAATAAATGAAATAAATGTTGCTAGTAACTTGAAGATAAATTAAATTATAGTTGACCTTAATTAACATTCGGGATTTGTCTGAAAATATGATGTTATCCAAGAGACTTTGGAGTATATGTATTTATATAAACAAAATAAAATGAAACAGCTCTAAAATTCTTGTTGCTATGGTCCACGCTGTAAATTGCATGTGCGGCCATGCTTGGAAGCTAAATAGATGTTATATATACGGAAGATTTTGTTAACTAATTTAAACTTTCCATTACATATAGTTATGATGATGCAAACCTCAACAAATTGCACGACATATCTGAGATGGAGACATTTTTCTTTGATGTGAAATCTCTTAATTGGGAAGACTTCTTCATGAATATACATATCCCTGGGTTGGTGAAATATGCATTAAGAAAATAATCACACATAAGTAACTAAGACTTAAAATTATGTTCATTGCTGTAAGGAATTATGTAACCTAATCATATTTGTGTGAATTTAACTTCTAATAATATTGGATATTCTTGAATGTGTGTATGCTAAATATTCAAAATTATATTAATGTTCAAAATGAACTCCTTGAATCCCATTTTACTTTTGTTGAAGTGAATGATTTCATGGGTTGTGCTAATAGTCACAGAAATGATTGTTTATTGAATCTTTAGTCACATCAATTTATGAAAATTGTGGCAAAAGTGTTGTTGTAATCAAACAATTTTGTCCAATAATTATGAGTATAAACTATTTCAAGACAAACAAGTGTTTTTAATAGTGACTATTGTTCATTCAGTGGCGACACATATCTTTTTCAATGTTTCCTTAGCTATTATTTAGTCAGAAAATGGTTGTTTGTAGGAGTTTAGCCACATCGATTTAAGGAAAGCATGGCCAAAAGTGTTTTATAGGCACATGATTTTTTTAATATGTTTATCCTTTAACTTACAACCACATATGTTTTTTTAAATGACCATTGACACAATATGTATATATATATATATATATATATATATATATATATATATATATATATATATATATATATATGTGGTTAAGTTCAAATAAGAACACTATTTAATGTGAGAACGTGAGAACACTACTTTATGTTACTATTTAATATGTATAGTATTGTAGTAATTATAATATGAATATATTAAATTTTATATTGCTATTCTTATATATATATATATATATATATGTGTGTGTGTGTGTGTGTGTGTGTGTGTGTGTATTAATTTAGTAATTCTAATGTGAATGTTAAATATGTGACTGTTCATATATTCGGTGATAAATAATGTCATAAAGTTGTACATACAAAGTTTTAATGTGAATATTAATGTGTGATTGTTTGTATATTTGTTGATAAATAATGATATATCGTTGTATATATAAAATTCATAGTAGAATAGTAACATAAAGTAGTGTTCTCATATTTTTACATTAAATAGTGTTCTCATTTGAACTTAACCCTATATATATATATATATATATATATATATATATATATATATATATGTGTGTGTGTGTGTGTGTGTGTGTGTGTGTTTAATCGAGACTATTTTTTATCGTTTCGACTTAGAAAATCAATCAAACAATGATTGTAATTCTTTTACATACACATATTTGTTGTAACTTTAGTCGTTCATTATTCATTCATGACCCCGATAACTTGTTTTCAGTATAGCTTATGTTATCATTTAGGCACAAAAATATTATTTAATATGAATGTTATTTATAATTTATACACAAACATTATTTGTAAATTGTATCTATAAATGTGGTATAGTCACATAATGTTCTTTTTTAAATGTGACTATTTTACCTATAGTTACATGAAGTTTTACTAGCTTGAACTTGTTTTATCGTTTTAGACATACATTTTGCTTTTGATGTGGTAAATATTGTCTAATAAGCCACATGAAGTCTTATTAACCTTAGCATTTTGATAAAACTGATAACAAATCACACAACATTTCTGTGATTTTCATTAAATATTTAAAAAGAGATACATGATAGCCATAAGATAGAAACCACGAAGAAAACAAGGAAAAAATAGAGAGATAAGAAGGAAATAAATCAATTTCAATACTCTCCCTCAAGCTAGAGCATGAAGATCGCAAATACCCAGCTTGAGCAACATGGAACGTAGTCGTTGAGCACCTAAACCTGTTGTGAACAAATCAACAAGTTGTAATCTCGTGTCAATATGCAAATGCCAAATTTCGTTATGTCACACCCCCGAACCAGGACGTCAGAAACGTCTGGGGCGGATGACGTCATTGTATAGTATCATAACAATTGATTATAATTGAAACATAGCAACCAAACAACATGCATTGAAATACAATTGTACATTGTTTACATAGTGAATTTGTTCATAAGTTACACCAAAAATGACTGAAAAGTAAAATTCCATAGCTCAGCATCACTTGATCTTAAGGAGAGTTGTTTACCTGTTACTGGTTCCCTGAGAATACAATTCATTTTAAAAATCATCAACAATGAATGTTGGTGAGTTCATAAGCATTTTTGTATGAAAAATGGTTTGTATATTCTTTGTTTAAAAAAATGTTATATGCTTCCAGAAAATCCGATATTTTCTATAAAAGTGAGACTAAAAGTGTATGTGTGCATGCTTCCTTGTAGTTTGTAAATGTATATTCCCCCGAAAATCCAATATTTTTTGATGCATGAAAAACTGTAGTCTTAAAAACCCTAAGACCAGAATGGTGATAATAGTGTACTGAAACATAGTAAGTAGTTTTATAGTTTATAAAACTAGTGAAATGTGAGCTTCCCGTAAACCAAGATAGTGTTGTTAATCCCTATGTGAGTTATTATAACCATGTTTAATGTGATTGTATGCCTGTTACAACGTTCTTCAGGCATAGGAAAACGGTAAGATATTTTTCACCGTAGATTGGCCCGTCTAGCTGTAGCGAACAGATCAGGTGTGGGGTTGTCAAGCCCTGTATAGATCTATACACAACTACCTCGCTCTCCCTCTAGGAGACTCTGGTTATAATACAGGACTTAAAGTGTACGCTAGGTAGGTAAAGTGAAGATAGAGTGTCTCACTAGAGCATTAACAGATTTTCGTGAACTACGACTCCTTTTCTTGTATCATGAAAGAATTACACTTTTGGAAAATTTGTGACATGTGCTTTATGATATGCGTTTTAAGAGTTTCATGATATGATGTTTACGACACGCGTTTTAAGAGTTTCATGATATGTTGTTTACAACACGTGTTTTATAACTTTCATGACATGTTGTTTATGACAAGCAAACTATTATGTCAACAGTTTGTTTTGTATTCTCTTTTGTGTAAACTATTTATAAAGATTTATACAAATAGTCAATAATAAATATGTCTAGTAGTAAAATATGTTGTAAAAATAACATAATATCCTTGCGCTTTAAACCATCAAAAATAGTGACAACATAATTACGACTATTCTTACTAGAAAAGTTTATTTTCGGTAATAAAAACCTCCAAAGAGTTGTAGTTTTGCATATCTCATATTTTTCCGGTTGAGACTTTGTAAACACAAACTAGTTTAATTTGACCATTCTAGTAAGTCACAAAAAAAATTTTATAAGAACCATAAGATAACTTCAATATTTTTGTACTTGTCAAAATTTTAATTTGTAAAAGTGGGATAAGTAATTATCCAAAGGTCAAAACATATTTGAGCTTCTACAAACTTGTGTTCTTGCTGTTTTCAAGTATATCAACTTTTAAGCCCAATTTTTGTGTAATAAAAGTGTTGACAATCACATATGTTATGATTTTTATGTAGTTAACAAATGATATCAACCATTTTATACAAGAATTGTTCCATATTCAAGATATAATCATAGTGCATGCAATTGTCCAATGGATAAACTCATTCTAACTTATAACAAGCTTGTAAATCATGATTTTAAGATGAGTATGCATGAGGTTTTTGATAAACACAAAACATTCCATAAACAAGTTGGTGCATGCAAATATCCATCGGTTAAACAATAATTAACTTCTATCCCCCTCCCCGGGTAAAAGCATGAAAAACACGAAAAAATTAGGGGTATGAAGCTCACCTTGGTTGATTTCGTGTGGTAGGAGGAAAGAAAAGAGAAGTGGTTTTTGAGCCTAGCCTTGCACAAGCTTGAAGGACCCTCAAAAATTGCTAATGCTCTAAGGATATAGCACAAGAGAATGGTATGTAAACATGGATTTTTAAACTTAAATAGGTGTAAAAATACTTGGAATTTACAAGTATGATTACCGATTTCTATGGACGACTTAAATAATTTCAACCCCTTGAAGCTAGCACACAAATTTGGAGAAGCAAAATGAATGAGACTTGAGAGAAAAATGTGTGAAGGAAATTTTGGGACGGCCTTGGGTGCTTTCTGCCGATCTTAAGAAGAGAGAGGGAAAAAGGTAGGCTTGGTTGCATGGTAAACAATGTGATATATGGTGTGGATATATGGAAGGTAAAAGCATGCATGAGGTGGTTGTTTGGTGGACAATATAAGGTAAAGTATTAAGGTCGCACTCCATTAATGATTTCTTTTTCTTTTTCTTTTTATCCAATCCCAAACCCAAACCTTATGAGGTTTTCGGTTTTTATGGGCTATCATTTTGGGTTTTCGGTTTGGATGGCCCATTAAGGGAGGGTTTTTAGGTTTTCGGGTGGGTATGGGCTTTCGGGCTTAATTTGGTCCAATAAAAGAGTTTTTGGCCAAAGGAAGGCCCAAGGAAAAGGATTTCCGGCCTAGGGTATTTGGGCCGAGAACTCTAAGCAAAGACCCAAAAACTTGTTTTTGTTCGGCTATTGGATCAAAGTTGGGCTTACATGAGGTTATCATTACTTGATTCCTAGTGTATGCATGTATGTACATATAACATTTCCATTTTTAATTTCAATAGTTTAATGCAACAATATCACATAGAGGAATTGTTTGTACATGAAGCACAATCTCAACGCTAAATTTGCCAGTTGTGATAACTCTTCATTAAGACACTTCTTAATTTTCATGAATTTTGTGAGAATTGTTTCCCACAAGAATCACATCGTCCACATAAATGAGAATAATAATGATAGTTCCAGCCTTTTGTAAATAAAAAAGAATGGTAAGACTTGGATTGATCGAAACCGAGACGAAGAAGGATTGTAGTTAATTTCTTGTACCAATTGTGAGAGGCTTGCTTTAGGCTATAGAGAGACTTTCGTAAATGACATACTCTAGTGTCATTTTCTATAGAGAAGCCTTGAGGAACCTTCATGTAAACTTCTTCCTCCAAATTTCCATGAAAAAAAAATTATTGACATGTAGTTGATGAATCATCCAATTAACCCTTCTTGGTGGCAATAGCTAGAAGCATTCTGATAGTCACCAACTTTGCAATAAGAGCAAAAGTGTCATGGAAACCTTATCCTTCGGTATGCATGAAATCTTTGGTGATGAGTCAGGACTTATATCTTTTGTCTT